CACCCTATCGGTTAGTGTTAATGTGTGAGAGAGAAAGAAAGAAAGAAAAAGAGAGAGAAAGAGAGAGAGAGAGAGAGGATTATTACACAAAAGCAAAAATAATAGAAATACACGTATTTTTTGTCAGAAAATGTAAATCCCTTGAAATTTGAATTAAATTCACACACAAAAAATTAATGCATAATATTTTTTGTTGTTTACATAAACTTTTCTATCATTTGATACTTTATTATTCAAGAGAATACAAAAATATGTTTCCAACGAATTACAGACACAGAATATTCAGTCAAATCAATTCAATTTGACTGCTATTCAAACAAACATTATAACAAAATTTGATAAATATTTGAAGCGTGAAATTTGAACAAAACTTATTATATTTATATAATTTTGTAATAAAATTTAAATTTCAAATTCCTCACACTTTTTATAATGTATATATTTTTATACACTATAAGCCGTACACTATATAAGGGCGTAAAAGGGCCCGATTTTTTGGGGCAAGTATTTGCCAAAAACACGGAAAATGAGATTAATTTACAACAAAATAAAAACAAATCTCTTTTTTGCTTCAATATTAAGGCTCCAGAAAAATGAAGACATTATTATAACGATATAATTGATACCAATATTTCATTTTAATGTGGTTTTTGATTATATTTCTCGATATTATTATTAATAATCATTATATGTATAAAAATGAATTATATATTAAAAATGTATAATAAGTGCAACACTTTATTGCACTCAATCCTAACACACTATTATATAACAAATACCGGCAAAAAAACACATACCTGTGCTCTGAAAAGGCACACATAAAGTGGCCGTCCTATCACTTAATCACATACGGAGAGCGTAGGGATTGATTATTAGCTGTTAATGTGTTTTAATAATATATTACATAATTATTTCTTCAATACATAATTGCCATCAAAAACCTATGGCTTATATAACAGGAGTCGCGACAATAAATTGTTTGTCATTAATTATTTTGATTAGATTTTTATGTATAAATAATTATGTATTGAACAAAATATTTTCCGATTATTTTTTCGGCTAAATATTAAGTTTTCATGAGAAATGTGAAAATATATATAATTAAAATGTTTTTAAAATATAATATATTTCTATTTATATGCTTTAAATCCTATTTTGAAGCAATGCTTTTGTTAATTATTTAGACATGATTTCAACCTTAATAAAATTATTCGTAATTTATTTAATTTAAAAATATTTGCCTTATTACCAGACAATCTTGCTTCAAATGTGGGCATAATTAAATTTGTTGCTAATTTAATTTTTTACCTTAAATTACCTAATTTATATAAAATAGTCTATGCTAAATTTTAAACACATTTTAATAATCATAAGGTGTACTGTTTATTATAACAAATAATTATTTATGGTTCACTATATAAAGTATATGTAAGTTATGCTAACAATATGTGTGAACATAGGGTTTACTGTTCTCTGTATTTAATGAGTACTGTATTTATTTTCAAACTTTTTTATTTGTTTTTCTCATTTGTTGCCAAAAATATAGCGAAACATGATTTTAACAGTGATTTACATTAAAATCAAAAAACAATAACAATAATTGTTATGCTTTCGCACATATAATATGTATTTTCAATCTTATTAATGAAAATTTACATTTGTTTGCCGTTTATTAACAGTATATAAGCGTATAATGACTTTCAACACCACATTATATTTAACTCAATAAATAATATGCTTTTGGTTTGCATTTGTGGTGCAAATTATAGGCATTTATTTAATACTCGATATGTAAATCACATCACAAGAAATCATGTGTGTAAATGGGAAACAAGCAACAAATAAAATTGTAAAATACATTATAATAATCATATACTCTTTTATGCACAAGAAATTTGTATAAATTATACATTATATCGAGAGTACATTATATACACATCCATACACTTGTAATTTTAATATTAGTTAACCATTATTTAACATAATTTTATTGCATTTATAAATAGCGTAAAAAACAATAAAAATTTATATTTGAAAAAATCAAAACTCAAGTAAAGTTAATCACAATGTCTTTTATATTGCTTTTAATTTTAATATAACAAATATTAATATTATAGATACAATTAAAAACTAACCATAGTATTAACGATAGTGACTATCAGACAACTAATCTGTGAATTCTTATTAAACAACGGATCAAATGAGTGATAACTTATCACTGATAAGCATGTTTTTGAATGTATCAAATGTGAGGTATGTTTTGAACAGAGACTACAGGTGCTGATGACTAGACAGTTAATACGGGTAAAACAAATATCATTATGTGTGGGTGGGTTGAGGTGTGGACCCTGGTAAATTGTAACTTATGAATTATTATTAAAAGTGATTATTATTCATTCATAATAAATATATTTATTTAATACATTGTTTTAAATATTGATTTATGGGAACACTTAATATCAATAATAATACTGTAGGAAAATATGGCTCAAAAATAAATTAAGAAATGAGATATTTTCTCCACAAATGCTGGCATTCATGCATTTTGAATCCGACCCCGAAATTGGTCACCGCTTTCGGCTCAATAGTGATCTCATAAAACGGAGCGACGATATTGTCATCGATGGCAAAATACTTCTGCCAATGGGTCCCGTTTTGGGCCGATGGGGCACTGCATAAAAACAACTACCACGATCAAAATTATTCCACATAAAAGTTTAGTTCCAAAATACTTACCCTGTTTTAGCGAATTCTGTTAAGAAGTCGACCATTTGTCTGGATATCTGTACCTCACGGTCGGAGTACTGGTCAGTATCGGCGAGTGGGCGGCCAAACATAGGCGCCAAGTCGTTGCCGTGACAGACGCCCATCCATTTGGAGCACAAGAAGTTGTCCCGCAGTTTACTATTGAACACATACTGATAGACATTGGCTTTGAAGTCGCTGTGTCTGAACACCTGATGCGCAAACTCGACGGTCGGACACGTAAAGTAATAGTCGCCGACCGCTATACCCATTGTCCGCCGCAACAGATGATAATCGTTGGCATCGGAGAGACCCGTGTAGTATAGTTTGGCCACTTCTTCGCCGTTGATCTCGTAGGCGATCGACAGTTTGGGCGCAATCAGTGTCAACTCGTCCACCGCCTCGGCGTACGTATAGTTATAGGGATTTGTGGCGTGAAAATAGCGGAACCGATACATCATTTGCAGTATAAAACTTCCCTCGTCTTCAACATTGCTGACCATTAGATTGACGTTTCGCTTGTAGTCGCCGTCGGCTAACATTTCAGCCGGCATTTTGGGCAAAAACTCGCCGTCGACCACAACCACGAAGAATAGGCTAATCTCGCGTGAGTTGAGTTGAGGCATACTGACGATGTCGGCCAGTTTGTCCACATCCAGAGCCCGCATACATTGCATCACCTCTTCGGTGAATTGGGTCTCATTAGTGCCACAACCGGACAGCTCTGCGCCCAAAAGCCACATCTCTATGTAGGCGTCGTTCGGCGCGTCAATCAAATTGTTAGTATAGGCACCGGAGCTGAGGATCGCGTTGTGGAACAGGTGTCGCGACACCGGCGACAACACGTGAAGACTCGCGGCCCACGAGCCCGCGCTCTCGCCGAAGATTGTGATCCGCTCGGGATCGCCGCCGAAGTAACGGATATTGTCGTTCACCCACTCGAGCGCCAACGCCTGGTCCCAGAGACCCATATTTCCCGGCGCTTCCGGTGTACCCGAGTATAGGAAACCAAAAACGCTTAGTCTGTGACAAAATCGCGTTCAAAATTCCTGTATTATTGTTTTGGTTGTCATTATTTTACCGATAATTAACGGACACAAACACCACGTCTCCCAACCCGGACAACACGTGTCCCTCGTAGTGGTTCTCGTGAGCGCTGCCCACCATAAGAGCGCCGCCGTGTATCCAAAACATGACCGCTTTGGGCGACTCGTCATCGGCGGTCACCGGCGACCAGATGTTCAAATACAGACAGTCTTCGCCAAAGTCGTCGTCCGACCAGTTCTGCTGCGACTTTACAAACCCAATGCTCTGATAGCAGGCCTTCGAGTAGTTGAACGCATTCAACGGTTCCGACCACTGGTTCCGCGGCAACGGTTTGCGGAACCGAAGATCACCGACCGGTGGTTCCGCGTAAGGGATGCCTCGATAGACGTTCAGCTCTCGGCCGTCGACTGTTGTCTCACGTAATCCGTTGATAATCCCGTTCTTAATCCGTACGCTAACCGTCTGATCGTTGTCTGTATTGTCGGCGCCGGTGTTGTCGCCAAATACGACCGCAAACCCGACAAACAATACCATTAGTTTTGAGGCAAACATTTCTCTCAAAAATGTTGTTAACAAATGACATGTATTTAATGAAAATCATTCAATATTTATCTCAATTATGGTTACCATAAAACGACGGCAATAAAGATATGTTTAATGCATTCAACACTGTTTTAGACAATAAAACAATTACACGATATGTATTGAAGTTATAATGATTTTTATTAAATTATAATTAATAGAAATATACTTTTATTTTATTTTCTCTAATTACACGTGTGTTTAAGTTTTAAATCCGTTTACAAAGTATAATAAAATAAAATCTACAGAAAAAATTATATTTACTTCAAATATCTATCCCAACATTAATTAGCATATTATTTGTTACCCAGATTTAATTTTTATAAAATAAATATGATTTAAACATTATTTCAGTTAATCTCTAATAAATGTATTTTAATCGGAGTATTAATCAGACTTAAAGTAAAATCAACAAATTAAAATAAATATATTTTACTATCTCATTGTAATTTTGAAATATTAAAACATTATTTTATAGATTTGGATACTATTTCCAGTAAATTTAGCTTATTTAGATTAATGTATTTCCATGAAACTATTTCTATAGAAATCATATTTTATATTTATGAATATCTTTTGCATTAAAAAATATATTTAGCTATTTATGATTTATTTTAAGAATACTGTATAATATTGCATAATACAGTCTGTATATTCACATTCAGAAATATTTGTGACTTTTATTGTTATTTGTTTTTATATCACATTCAGAATATGAATTGTATTGAATTATATTTATCACACAAACGTATAATACATTCTGCAAAACAAAAAATAAAATTTAATATTGTTATCACAAACAACAAGAATATTCTGTGCATATAATTCAGTTATAAAAGTATTTCGTAACATATGTTATATTATGAGAATTTTCATTTGCTTAATAAAATGAAACGCTTAGAGAAGCAGATATACAAATGTATTACAAGTGTATTATAAGTGTATTACAAATACTTATAATATACTTATGCTTTGATCCAACAAAAGCTAAAAATAGGATATAATTTGTTGAACACAAAGAATACACTTTCGGTAATTGAAACTGACTTTCTCTCAATGAAACCAATTATAGCCGTGAATTGTGAGCAAATCGTTTTTATACAATCCAGTATATTATATAACTATACATGTTAAATCTATCTCTACATGCCTATGCATTAACATAGAGCCAAGTAATATGTACTATGTATACTTGATTTAACATTAACAGTTTAAACAAACCATTTAATATCAATTTTTATAATATATTATTAATAATCAGTTTTACATTTAATAATAGGGTAAATGCCATTAGAAAACAGCGTTACAATAGGTATTAGCATACAATAGGGGGTGGGAGGGTAGTGACAACCATAGAGAGGATGGGGTGAATGCATAGGGAAAACACATAGAGGGGAATAGAATGATGAAATGGGTAACAGACTTAATGGCTGGTGGCTAGATATTATTATAAAATATTATTTTGTATGTTGAAACATTTTTATATCAATATTATTTTAATCATAACAATTTTATTGGTTTTATTTTAAATATTTGTTATTTATTTAGTTATAAATAATTTTATTAATAGAACATTACTTTTAAACTGTTATAATTTAATAATACAATATGTACTGTATTATATTAGAGTATTATGCATACAATCCTGCCCATAGAAACTTATGTTATACATTGAAACCCATGTTATTTCTAGTGCTAACCCCCCGTCAATTTTCCTCTCCCTACTCGCGCACTGTTTTGACATT